ATATCACTCTAATTTAAGCAGGTCCATGTTTTTTAAAAGGCTAGGGCTAGGTGAGGACTGTATCTGTGTCCTAGAGGTTAGGGGTTAAGCAGTAGTTTTCTTTAACTGCAACTCATGGCTGGAAGTCTTCCTGTCTTGCTGGGTAAAATTTCAATAAGAACCGTCAGAACATTATTTCCAAGAATTATTTTTGTAAACAGTCTTGCATGGTTAAAATAAGGGCCCAATCAAAGTATGTGATTTCAAGAAATCACTAGCAAGCAGTATGGGTATTGGTAGGAAGGCTGGCAGGGAATAGCACTGCCATAGTCTGAGCTGAAGTCTTGGGTGTTATGTATGTTTTGGAGTCCAGAAGTTGAAGCCAATATGAGTTATCAACAAGGTGAGATAATAATTTTCTTGGGGGGGGAGGGTATACTCCATGGTCTTATTAGAGCAAAACATGTGGGAGAGGATCCTGAAGTATTATGTCTTAATCTGAAATGCCAGGAGTTTTTGCCAGGTACGGTGGCACAACGGTTACTCATAAGTTACTCGTAAGTACTGATGTGAGGACTCAGCCCTCCTCACAGCTTCTTTGTAAAAGATTAACTCCCTGAAACTTTGCTATAAATCCCATCCATGCTTTGAAACCTCCAAAGAGAGAAGATATAATTCCTTTGTCTGCCTTTCTGTAAACCCTATAATAGGACAGGGAGGAAGCAGGCCAGGGAGCTCTGCCATTATGGACTCTAGTCCTAAAGGGTCCACCCTCAGAAATAAAGCCCTTCCTCTTTCAAAGGCAGGTGTTCGTTCTGGTGATTCTTTCTCTCCAGTGGTTTACCTGCTAGTCGTGGGGGTATAAGGGCGAGTAGGTTGCAAAACAATAAACTGGGGAGAGGGCAAGAGGGAAACTGAGACCCTCCAGCCTGTCTGTTTCAGCCCTTGTACAGTACAGAAAAAAAGACCTTGCTTTCCTTGGGATAGTTGCAGGTGTTATACTGAAGCAAGTGGAATACAGAAACACCAATACACTGAATCCAAATTAAGCAGGGGGTCCTTTATTGGCCAGTGGTCAAGATCAGGCTTAAGCCTCAAATTCTCTCAACCACCAGGGACAGGGGTACAAAGTTTTTATAAGGTGCTTTCGATAGGGGAAGGGGAGTCCTTACCGCAAGCCGAGTTTCATAAAAGCCAACACCTGCACGGTTAGATCTAAGTGGGGGGTGCTTGCAAGGGACAGCTGTGGTTTCACAGGATTTTGCTATTTTTGCTAAACTCTGCAGCTTTCAGCTGAGTTAAAGGAGTGTTGAAAGCCCTTAGCAAAGTCCTTAGCAAAATGGACTAAGTCTGGTTCTATGTACAAAATGGAGTTAGGGCATTACACAGACAGCCAGCAAGCCTCTGGCATTTCCCAGTCCACAAGGAGGCACGTTGACTGCATAGCACTCGAGCTCCTAAGAGGATACCTGGAAAGAGTATGTTCTGACCTCAAAAGACAAAAGGCTTTTGGCAGAAACTCAAGGACACTCCTGCAAAGTCCTCCCCATGGTAACTCAGCTCCTAAGAATTTGTAAAAACTTAACCTCTTGGAACCTTGAAAGTAACCCTTGCTTCCACTTCTGTAAGCCCTGCACATGCTTTGACCCCTCCGATGAGAGAACAATATAATAATTCCTTTGCCTACTTGTGAGTCCTATAAATGGACAGGAACAGAGCTGATCCAGGAGCTTGGCCATCTTGGACACTAGTCCACCCAAGCTCTGCTGGCTGGAATAAAGCCCCTTCCTCTTTCAAACATCAGCATTAGGG